TTTCAAGTTTTTTCTCCAAAGTTTGCATGCCTGTAACTCAAGAAGTATTCAAGATATCTTAATGCCCCTTTAGATATTGGGTCTTAAACTTTCCTTTTGGTATCTTCATTTGTAAGGCCCTATATGGTTCGATTCCAGAGATATTGGAATTTCAATATGGCTCCAGGAGTAAATTGTTAAAATGTACACATTTTCAGTGGTCAAAAACCAAATGTGGGTCAATTTGCAAAAATATGATACTTTTTTTCTTTGAAAGAGGAATGTGTGAAGAACAAATAATGTTGAAACTAGAGATGTATCTCATTTACTTCTGTCAAAACAACTGCATTGAACATACCTCTCTGAGTGTCTTTAAATATTATTTTTCCAAAGTTTGCGTGCCTATAACTCAAGAAGTATTAAAGATATTGCATTATGATTTTAGATTCTAGTTCTTAATAAACATTTTCAGTGGTCAAAAACCAAATGTGGGTCAATTTGCAAAAATATGATACTTTTTTTCTTTGAAAGAGGAATGTGTGAAGAACAAATAATGTTGAAACTAGAGATGTATCTCATTTACTTCTGTCAAAACAACTGCATTGAACATACCTCTCTGAGTGTCTTTAAATATTATTTTTCCAAAGTTTGCGTGCCTATAACTCAAGAAGTATTAAAGATATTGCATTATGATTTTAGATTCTAGTTCTTAATAAACTTTTCTTTTGGAATCTTAATTTTCAAGGCCCTACATCGTTCAGTCTCAGAGATATGAGGATCTCAATGAGGCTCCATTTTCAGATTGTTGAATATTACCTATTTTCAGTGGTTGAAAACCAAATGTTGGTCACTTTGTATACAGCGGATACTTATTGTATTTAAAGCAGAATGTCTGAAGAATAGGTAATGTTGAAACTAGGAATGCTTCATGTTTCCCTCTATCAAAACAATATCCACAGAAAATACCTGTCGGAGTGCTAAAAATGCCCTGTAATGGTCTCCAAGATTCTTCAAGAAACCTACATGCTAATAATTATAAAACGACATAAGAGATGTATACACAAATTAATAACACATAAATAAACCCCACCTCTAGAATCTGGTGCTTCTTTGAGGACAGGTGCTGTCGTCTGAGTGATTTCAACAGAAATGGAAAGGTAGTTTTTCGAGTAGAAATATAGATGGAACTTTTTCTTCTCTTTGGGCACTCCGCACGCTGACCTCCACTTCCCCTCTCATTTTCAGTGTCTTCATTCTCTCTCCCATTACCAGAATCATCAGAGACGGACTCTGGTCTCTTAGATGATCCAAGTCGTCTTTCAGTTCGGACTGCTTTAGTCCTAGACTGTGTTATAAACAGGCTTTCACCAGAGTCACTGTACAGGGGAATGCAGAGATGTGATGCAGTGCATGAGAAAACATGTTCAAGTGAAAGACTTCAGTAAAATTAGAAACTTCATCTCAAAACATTATTAGATTATTTTATGATAGGGCTACACAAAGATTAAACTAATAACTCTGATTATTCTGCTCAAAAATTCTAATCACAATTATGAATCGGGAAATTTATTTTTACATTGCATTAGAATTGTTGCACTCATATGAGCAAATTAAGAAAATGTCAACTCAACTGCAAGGTTTATTTTAATTTATTTCTCTGATTATGAAAACTGGTATAACCTTAAGGAGCTTCTCTCAAAAGCTAAAACATTGAAATTCCAAATATTACAATAATTCCAAATTATGTTAATGTTTCTATTAAAACAACAAAAAAGACTTCGTATTGTAGCACATGAGAAACAATCCAGCATTTTAAAATGTCAAACTAATGTATACTTGGATAATTTTCAATCTGGTTTCTGACAGCATCAGATCATAATCTGACTGCATCATAATCCTAACCTTTACCTCCACACCAAAATCTCAAATGGACAGAAAGGGATTCATCTTTTGTGAATCGTTTAAAGATAAAAAATTGGTGAGGCCGGAGAATGTAGTGTACACTGGGAGCTTAGCTTGAAGTTGTGCTATAAATGGTGCTCATAAGCAGCTGTTCAACTTGAAGAGGAGGCTTGAACCTTGAAAATGGTTTTGTTTACGCGGCGCGATGCAACGCGTAAAAAGACAGTGTATAAGTCATTATAATCCGTAATTATGTCTCCACTGGATGCAACAAATGCCTCGTTTATAATGGGTTTTAATGTTTTTGAATCATCGCCCCGGCCTGACAGGGCATCATCACGGTATGGTAGGGGCATAACATTTCCGTCACACGCTTGAGGTATTCGGCCAATCACAACGCACTGGATAGCTGGCCAATCACAGCACACCTTGCTTTTCAGACCGACGAGCTTTGTAAATATCGACGCGTTTCAGAAAGGTGGGGCATAGAGGAGCAACAATAATGTACAGTATGTGGAAAATAATGTTTTTTTTTAACCTTAAACCGCATAAACACATTTCCATAATTAATGTACAGTATGTGGAAAATAATGTTTTTTTTTAACCTTAAACCGCATAAACACATTTCATTACACCAAATACACAAAATAATGTTCTTTTTAGCAACATCATATGACCCCTTTAAATACATCAGGGGTGTGAGATATATATCGTCTGTGATAATATCGTAATTGTTGTTTTAACGATGTGCGATTTTACATTTTCAAGTATTTTACAAAATCCATTCAAACCACAGAGTGCACGCATACATTACGTGAAGTCTAGAGACTAAAGTTAGTGCGAGTGCGCATTTAGATTGCGTTCTTTCATTGCATGAATGATTCAGTCAGTCTAATAAAATACATTTAGAATGATCACAAATTCAAGACATGGGGACAGAAAATTTATATATTTATACCACTTCATATAGTTAATAAATTTCAAACGAAGAGTGCCATTTTTTTCTCCAAAAATTTTTATACAACAGTTCAATAAACAAGAAGTAAGAGACTTACGTTTTAGACACCATATTTCCTGTTTATAAATGCGGCATTTTGACAACAAAAAATCATTCCAAACACAGCCACAGCACTGTTTTGAGTATCTGAGCAACATGACGGTGTTTTGTTCCTGAATGAATCAACTGTTTAAATGATTCGGTTCAATCTTAACAGTAACTTGCTGCCACCTGCTGGCGTTTTAATTTCACATTTAAAGTTTATTTTTATTATTTAAATAATTTCAAATAACAGTAGTCAACGTTTTATGTTTAATATATCAAAACATTATTCATGCATTTGTAATTGCAGGTTAAATGCATTCATGTCCCGCATTAAACATTGTGTATACATCTAAATGCCACGTTAGATGCAGCTTCTGTGTTTCCTCTGCATTGCAAATATGAATTTTGTTGATACTGATTTCATAATTCACTGATTAAATGCAAGAATTTGACTCAAAATATAATGGACACTTTTAGAAAAAAATGGCTTTATAAAGGTAAAAATGCCCATAAAATGTAAAAATCAATTTAAACTTATTGGAAAAGATTCATTTCTATCAGTGTGAACTGACCACCACACAGAATATGAAGAATATCAAAAACAGGTGCTGGGAGGCGCGAGCATTAGTTAATTCAGAGACATTCCCTTGACAAAAAGAGCAAAAGAAAAATCATTCGCTGCTTTAATAGCTTTAATGGATATTTGCGTTATGTTGATGTTAATAAAGTAATTCGGTGTGAATACAGTAATGGGGGGGGTGTTGGGGGGGCGCGAGTGAAATTAGACAAACTTGGGGGGGCGCATGTCCTAAAAGGTTGAAAGCACCTGACTTAGGTTAAATTGATTCCAGTGTATATTTAGCCTCTCACCAAGGTATACGAGGCAAAATATTTAAAGATTAATAGAAGCAACACAACCGCACGTCTAGTTTCCAATACAAGTCTTGTTTTACCTGTCCGAAGAAGGTTGGTGGACTGTAGCATCACTTCTTTTCTCCACGGTGCTGGTGAACTGCTCAAAACACTCATTGATCGAGTCAACAACATCAGGCGGGGGAGTTTCGAAGATGAGCTCCGAGTGCGGATCAATGTCGATCAGATCTCCAACCTGCGCCACAACCGGTACATTCTTCCGCGTGCTCGGCGACGCAAGCTGGGTTGTGTCGTCTTCGCTGCTGAGAGCCATACTTATTTAATCCACTGATCTGGTGAATTATCATGTAAGTTATTCCTACCACGGGAGACTTGCACGATGTGGAATATCACTGATTTGCGCAGCCTTGACGGGTGCTTGTGAAACACCGGCTATTTCTGCAACAGATTAAACACGAACACAAAAGTACTGGCCAAAAAAGAAATTAAATAAAAAATCAGAAAACGTTGTCTCTATGCCAAACATATCCACGTGTTGCACGGTTCTGTTTTCATTTAGCGGGCGCCATTCAGTTCCGCACACTCGCCCAGGAAACACGTCAGCTGGTGATTGGTAGCGCGCATGCGCGCGTCATCTTCTTCTTCTACGATTTAATGGCGGTTGATAAACCAATTTATGCTGTATTACCACCATCTGGACTGGAGTGTGAAACATTAACGGGAAGGGGGGGGGGAATTTAATATGAAATTTAATACTCCTATGTTTCTCAGTTTCTTAAATAACTCCTCTCTTTCTTTGGTATATACTGCACAATGTAAAAGTACATGCTCAATAGTCTCTGCTTCACTGCATGTAGTACATAATCCTGACTGATGTTTCCCAATTGTGAATAATGAATGATTTAAACCAGAATGTATAATTCGAAGTCGAGTAATAATTATGTCTTCTTTTCTATTGTTAAAGCATATTCTCCCTTTGCCAACTTGTTTTTGGATATTGTAGCCTATAGGTGTCTGCCCTTTAAATCCTTGTCCCACATTTCCTGCCACTTTTTATTCATGTGTTCTTTAATTCTTCCTTTTATTTCTACTTTACTCAGTGGAATTTGTACCTCAATGTTCATATGTTTAATTGCTTGTTTGATTGCTTCATTTCCTTGTACTCCTACATGTGCAGGTACCCATAAGAACCTCAGGACTATACCAATTTCCTGAATCCTAAGCAGATTTATAAGTACTTCATAGATTAAATCCTTTCTTGATGTTGATTGTTCACTTATTAAACTATTTAAAGCTGACAAGGTATCTGAACAAATGACTACCCTTGTAGGCTTAACTTCCTCCACCCATTGAATAGCTAATAAAATTGCTATTAGCTCTGTTGTAAAGACTGATACAAAATTAGTTATCCTTTTCTGAACGTTGACTTGTAATCTTTGGATATATACAGCTGCAGCTGACTTTCCTGATGTAGGATCTTTAAGAGAGAGAGAGATTAATAGGCGTGGTTTTCTCTGAAAATGTGTTGTTCGTGGATATAAAATTTTGCATACTGTGTATGTCATGACTTCCCAAGAGACATGTTCCATAATAAAGTATATATTATACATTCCCTCAACACAGTGTTTATGTTGAGAAAGGAGGAGCGATACTCAGGAGGCGTGTTTATGTTTTCTGGATGGCCAATCAATGCGTTTTCACGAGTTTACACGCTCCTTTCGCTCTGCTCAGAGGAGCTCTCATGCAGGAGCCTGACAGATCAATACACACACCAGAGTATGTGAGCGGAGCGGTGTGATTTTGACTGGGAGGGGGGAGCGGATTTTTTAAAAGTCGGAGCGTCGTGGTTTTCACTCGCTCCAATAGCTCTCCACACCACCGCTCCATCACGAGTACAATTCATGCTAACGGCCCGTAATATAACTGCATATTTAGCAAGAATTCACACGATAAACATATTTAGCTAGCTTGATAGAGAAGGATCACTCAAATCAGAAAGAATGTGAAGGCTATGATGACGGCAATGGACTTGAGCGGGATGTTATAGTTCTCAAGGAATTTGTTTGTTCCTTCTAGATAGCCTACTGAATATTCTCAGGTGAAAGCATGATTTAAACAGGTACAGCACGTACACGCAATCGCTCTCTCAATAGCCTAATGCATTCAAACAAATGTAATCTTACAGTGCTACTTCATCTGTATCCGATTTCGAATGAGCAGAAATCTGTAAGAAATGCAGCGATCCGTAGGTAAAATAACCAGTGGCGGCTCCAGGATTTTTTTTTGTGTTGGGGGGTGCTAAGGAGGGGCTTAACAGTTCAGAGGGGGTGCTAAAAAACTAAACTGAGTGAAAGTAATGAACGTCTATAAGCTTCAGCTATCTAAATAGCATGCAAATTCAGCCACCTTGTGTTTTTTATATAGGCTACAGCAGCTTCGAAAAAGGCAATTTTTTTTTTCTTTTTTCTGTGGTAATAAACTTCTCATATGCCAGTTATTAGTAATATAACTTCTAATGCCAAATATGACATTAACAAATTAATACAATATGAACGCACATAGAAAAGAGAGAAAGTAGGGATTTCTTTCTTTTTTCATTGTTTTATTTTATTTTTATTTTTTTACACTATTTAGTATTTTTTTCTGACCATCAAGTGTCAGTCACTCTCAATGCCAACTGGCAGGAAAACATGGTAAATTCTAACCATTTTTTTTACAATAGATAAAGTGCCGACATTATTTCCACACTATATTTAACTATTAACCATAACTATTTCCACACAGTGGCATAGCGGTCGGGCACGCACTGCGGGGGGCCCCACAAGTACACCCGGCTGCAGCCTGCAGATCGAGGCGGGGCTGCACCTGGGGCGGGGCTGCACGTGTCGCCCCGCCCACAACTGTTCTCATTGGTTAGTGGCAAAGTAATGACGTCGACGCCGCGGTAAACCGGAAATGCGGCTGAAACAATACATGGTAGTAATACATCAACACACCTGCTGGTAAGTTTCTGGTATGCCTAATAAGGTCTTGATTGGCTGGTTCAGGTGTGTTTAATTGGGGATGGAGCTGAACTGTGCAGGACAGTGGCCCTCCAGGTGCAGGATTGGGCACCTGCACTAGTGCATATACTGTATAGCAGCATAACAGTATGTAATATAAAAAACAAGCTCTACTTTCAAGGACTGTTAAACGTAATCATACTTTTTGTTGAATTATTATTAATAAATGTAGTTTACCGTTTATTTTAATAGATGCATAATTATTATTAATAATAATAATAATATCTAAATATTTTACATTGAATCATTTTATTCACAGAAAAACAATATAATTTTGTATAGCTATTGTTAATATTAACTTGTCCTATATTACTTCTGCTGGTTCAGTTTTGCCACTGTATTTCTTTTTAAGGGGCTTATTTTGGGAACACTATATCCTAATCATAATCCCACCAAAACCACACACACTAACGTTTCTAATGCTGCCTTCACGTGCTCTCGGAATTATCGTAAATACGAGTTTCCTAGGTAAACATTGCACATGAACGCCCTCCCATTTCGAAACTTTAATGCGATGAGCTCGTAATCACAACTTCAGAAGTGAGAATTATCAAATTTCCGATAGAACGTGAAGGCATTTAGACCTACGATGCTTTTGGGAAACGCAGCCCTGGTTATTTGCGTGATATGGTTGAGTGAGTAAAGTTACGCGATTTTATTTTTAAACTACTTCACCCTTCCTTTTAACAGCACACTAAACGCCACTTTAGAATTAAAACTTGTAATTAAACAAATTAGACAAGAGACGTAGCTCGCCTGTACTCACCATGCAGCGAAGAACAGCGGAAATTAAAACCCGCTAGAATCGACGTCAGGACGTGACGCCTTTAACCAATGAGAACAGTTGTGGGCGGGGCGACACGTGCAGCCCCGCCCCAGGTGCAGCCCCGCCTCGATCTGCAGGCTGCAGCCGGGTGCTTCTCGGGGGCCCCGCAATAACCTCCCCGTGCTGAGATGCGTCGTATCATGTGTCAACGATAGCCAGAGATATTGTCAAAAGCATCAAAAATTGGCAATATTAAGAGGACTTAGCATTTCCAATTTATGTAGGCCTGTTACATTCTTCCTATTATTAGGCCTATTATTATTATTATTATTATTATTATTAGGTTACTTTTATTATTAAATTACATGGAATTATTGCCCCGCATGACGCGCTGTGAGGGTAATTAAAGTTTAGGCTATTAGCTTACTCCTCATTGAAAATGTTTTTTTTTCAATGAGGTGTGCTGGGGCTAAGCACGTTTCTGATGGGGCTATAGAAACTCCGCTCACATACTCTGATACACACCGAGAAGGATGGCAAACACCAGCAAGACAGACAAGTTCCAGCTACACGTTCCAAATCTCGAGGAATTATGTCAGGGTAATCGGCGCATTTCATTTTAATATGTGCGTTTAAACGGGTATAGCATGTAGCATGACTAGTTTACTTCATTGTACTTGAGAAACCCAAATGACAGGACATGAGCAGTGATGCCAAGTCCGCGGTTTTCCCGTGGAATTGGGCTACTTTAACATTGTTGCCGCGGGTTTAACCGACCCCAATAACGTGATATTTAGCCCCTAAAATGCGAATTTTACCATGGGAACCCCACCAAAAACGTGTATTTTACCCCACCGTAATGCGATGTTTACCGGGGGATCCACCTCGAAACGTGATTGGGCTAGTTTTGAGTAGCAATTGGGCGGGTTTTGCTGTGAAAACCTGGCAACCCTGGACATGAGTCCAAAGTTCACAAGGACTATTTTGACCAGGGGTGCCCAAACTCAGTCCTGGAGGGCCGGTGTCCTGCAGAGTTTAGCTCCAACTTGCCTCAGCACACCTGCTGGGAAGTTTCTAGTATGCCTAGTAAGACCTTGATTAGCTTCAGGTGTGTTTAATTAAGGTTGGAGCTAAACTCTGCAAGACACTGGCCCTTCAGGACCGAGTTTGGGCACCCCTGATTTTGACCATGGTGATTTTTTATGGGCTTACATCTCTGCCACAATTCTGTGCGCGAACTGAGTTATTACAAGATAATAATTATGCACACCTGAATATGACATTTTTCACTTCCAGCCG